TTTTTAACTTTAACATAATAAAATTACATATACAAAACAGTTATCAAGCAAGAACTATAGTTACAATATTTAGTTCATTTACATTTGGAAAATTAAGGAAAATACTCTATCATCTTTGTCAGTCTAAAGTTTATATCTAATTTATCTTGTATTATAACTAAGAAAAACTATAACTGTCTGTCTTCAACTCCACCAAATACCCCAGAAGGATATATTACCTAAGTAAACAGGAAGTATATTGTAACTTCCAAAACTTGCAAAACTCTAGAGTTGACAGAGACATTTTCTCTGACTGGACAGTCACCCAAAGTTCTTCTGTAACGGGGCATCCATCTTCCGCCTACAGGCCCATAATATCTGGCAGACTTTTCCATGAAGCAATATATTTTAAGCATCAGTCACTTTCTTCTCTGTCCTGCAGAATGTCTGTCAGACTCTTTCATGAAGCAGAAACCCCAAAAGACCATCTCACCTTCTTTCAGCAAGTTCAGCAGTCATTTTTCTGTCAGCCCTGCATGTCCAGTTCATACAGTATACCATCAAGCAGACCAGGCAAAAGCAGTTTCTTGCACAAATGACTAGCAAACTCCATAAGGAGCCTCTTTGATGCCCATCATCCTCTTGAAGTAATTGGTCCTGCCAGAAGCAGACAGGTCTCACTGTTGAAAAAAGACTAAGTTTTTAAAAACATTTTAAATGTCATATTCTGTAGGTCTTTGGAAGGTTGAAGATTATCTAACTAAGTGAAATATATCTCTGAATATCTAGAAAACCTAAATAACATGATTACAAGTTTGATTATTATAAATGACTATTAACCTGTATTTTTAATTATACTTTACATTTTTAAAAGAACATTACAAACACAATACCTTAAGCAAGAGCAGAAATACATATACACAATGTAACAAAATCAAACTTAAATATGTATCAATAAACCAAGATCCATACCAAGATAAACTATTTGTTTCTATATCATATCCCTCATTTAAATGAAAGCAAATACTTATAAATAACTATGTTGGGAATTTGGGCATAGTTTTCTCCAAACTGCTTCCTGCTGTTTGTTAGGCAAAGTATTTTCACGGTTCACAGAGACTTTTCAGGAGGGTCTTGTTAATTAAACCACATTAGTCTGGAAGGAATTCATAGGTTCTCAACTTCTGTGGAAACAAAAGAAGAACCTCTTCCAAAGCAACATATCCTTAAACCCAAATTTTGAAGTCAAGATACCTTTATGTTGGTTTGACTTAGCAGGCCCTGGAATCAAATGTCTCTTTGCAGTCAAAAAATTCAAAGAAAACACAATAATATACATAATCCAGACTCTCTGTGTATATGTAATGTATTTACATACATACATGTAAATATGTATTTACATGGCTTATTTTTCTTTACATCTTTAGTTTATGACTATCTGTATTCTTTTTATATTACTTTTACTGCTTTTTAATGACTTTGTTTTATTTTTTAAACCTATTTCTTTTTTCTACTCTCTCCCAAGTCTCCATATGTTTATCCAACATTGTGACCCATTCAGAGATCTTTTTTATCTGAATCTACCTTTATTGCATATCTATAATCATTTTTTGACCAGGAGCATTTTGTTTTGTTTTGTTTTTAAATGCTAAATAAGTATAGCTTGGACCAACCTAGTGGCTTTGCTTGTTTGCTCTGCCCAGTCCAACATGGGAAAGCCATGTTGACTGTCTTTGTGAGCCATGTTTACTGTCTTTGTGAGCCATGTTGACTGTCTTTGTGAGCCATGTGCGCCACCCCAGCTCCAGGGATGCAGAAGGTCCATGTTGCCCTTAAGCGATTTGTAACATATTGCTCACAGACCCCACTGAAGTGTGGGACCTCCCAAAAGAGCCAGAGTACTGTCAGTATGAACCAGGGAGCCATCTCTCAAAGCAGCCATGCAGATTTTGCTGCTAATGCTGAGTCAGAAAGTCTTCTGTTAATGGAGCCATGCCTCTGCTCCCCATCAGCAAACAGAGCCTATCTGATAAAAAAAATAATGCAGCTACCAAGAAGCCATGCTTAACTCTGTTCTTTTGTGTCTAGACTTCCTTTCCAAGCTCTCTCAGTTTTTATGTGGATGTAGCTACCCCTCATTGGTGCACCAATTTGTAGAAAGAGGCTTCTCGTTCCTTCCCAGCTACCCAGACCCAAATAATCACACAGAAACTATATTAATTATAACATTGTTTGGCCAATAGCTCAGGTGTATTTCTAGCTAGTTTTCATATCTTAAACTAATTCATTTTTATTATTTTATATTTTACCGCAAGGCTTGTGGTTTGTTACCTCTTGCTTCTTGGGCAGTTACATGGTGTCTGCCTCCTTCAGCAGCTACATGGCATCTTTCTCTTTGGGCAGCTATATGGTGTCTTTCTTTTTGACTCCGCCTACTCTCTCCCTCTATCTCTTCCAGCCTGGCTATATTCTGCCCTGTTATAGGCCAAAGCAGCTTTATTCATTAAACAATAAAAGCAACACATACACAGAACGACATTCCACATTGCCACCATAATAAGCTCTATTGCAGATGCCAGGAGAGAGTCTGATGATGGGACCTAGGCAAGTTACTAAGTCTTAGTCCTCAGGCTCTGGATCTGTATAGTAAGAAGTCATGGAGCCCTTCCCTCTAGTACTTTCAACTAGACTACTTGGGTTTTTAGCACTGTAGTAAAATGCTTGAAAGAATCCATCTAGGAAGAAGAAAGGCTAGTATTAGTTTAGTTTTAAGAGGACTGTGGAGATCTCTCAGTCAGCAAAATGTATATTTTATGCAAGCATGAGGGCCTGAATTTGATCCCCAGGATACAAAGTTTACACAAATCCATATGTACTGGTTCATGCTTAGACTCCTTTGGGCTCATTGGCCAGCCAGTCCAGCATAATTGGAGAGTTCCAGACCAGGTAGAGACCTTCTCTCAAAATTAAAGATGGGTGTTTCCAGAGAACCAACATCTGTGGTTGACCTCTGATCTTCACATTACACACACACGCGCGCGCGCATGCGCACACATACACACACACACACACACACACAGAGAGAGAGAGAGAGAGAGAGAGAGAGAGAGAGAGAGAGAGAGAAGCTAGAATGCCACTGTCCCCTTTTAGAACATTTATACTATGACCTGAGACGTCCCCCCGAACCTCACCTCCTAGCAGCACTATGCTGGGGATAAAGCTTTGTCTACACAGGACTTTCCAGAGCACATTATATCTAAACTTTAGGAAGAGAACTAGATAAGCTGGCACATAGTAGCCATCTGTACAGTGTCTGGCATCCTGCAAGCCTGTGATTTAGCTGTTAAAATTGTTACTGCTTTGAGACAGGTCTTTTTAAATTAATTTTTATTAGTTCAACATTTTTCTCTGTTCCCGTCCCTGCCTTCCCCCCCCCTTCAACTCTTCCCCAAGGTCCCTAGGTCTTCTGTAGCTCCTGGTGGTATCTAAATCACAATGTAGCTGAGGATGATTTGAACTCCTGGTCCCCATATTTCTACGTCCCAAGTACTAGGGTTACAAGTGTGCACCACTACAACCAATGTATTCAGTGCTGGGATGGAACCCAAGGCTTCATGGCTGCTAGGGCTTCTATTAACAGTGATATATCCCTAGCCTTGTTATTATTATTATGATTGTTTAACTGTAGTGAATCCTCAGCTTTAAAAAAAAAATCACATGATCATCAGGGATGCCCTACTTTGACAGCTCCTCTCTAATTGGACAAAACACCTGTAGTCCTTAAAATGAGTTCCATAGACAGCCGGGTGGTGGTGGTGCACGTCTTTAATCCCAGCACTTGGGGCCAGCCTGGTCTACAAGAGTTAGTTACAGGACTACTGTTAAAGCTACAGAGAAACCCTGTCTTGAAAAGTTAAAAAGAAAATGAAAACAAACAAGGTGAGTTCTATGGTATTTTCAGAAAGCTCCTTTGTATCTGTGGTGAGTACACGAGTACATGTGCGTGCATATGTATGTTGTATGCACATGTGTGGGGAAGAGAAAGGTCAGTATCCAATGTCTTCCTCAGCTACTTCTCCATATTAGCCTTTGAGTCAGGGGCTTTCTCTGACCCTGGATTAGGTTAGGCCAGTTGGGCGGTAAGTTTCAGGGATCCTCCTGTTTCTGTCCCCCAGCACTGGTACCATAGGCCTGTGTTAGCACACCTGGCTGTTGACATGTGTTCTGGGGAGCCTTAACTCAGGTCCTTGTGATTGCATGGCCAGCACTTTGCCCACTGAGCCACCTCCCAGCCCCTCAGGAAACTTTCTGTTCCCACCATATCTGGCAACAACTTCGATGTCAGCTTATCCAGTGGGCAAGCTGCTTCCTGGAGAATGAAGCTCTCCTGGGCACACTGTTAGTGCCTCTACCTTCTTAAACATAGCGTACCCCTAAAATCGGGGTTCCTAAAATAGAGCCCAGAATTATTCTCTTTGGGATTTGCTCTGTATTCAGAGAATTCTGGGATTTAATGAACTCTTGGTTGGGAGCCATCTCTCTATGGCTACTTACTAGGTATAACAGAGATAACAACTGGATATGCAGTATGTGGTCCTAGTGCGAGACAGATGGTTTGAACAACAACAAAGGAGGTAAATACCTTTTTGTCTAGAATAAAGTAGGACCTGATTTTAAAAATACACCTTATCATTGGGAAGATGGCTCAGTCAGTAAAGCACTTGCCATGCAAGGATGAGGACCTCTGAGTTTGATCCTCAGAACCCACATAAAAAAGATGGGTGTAGAGGCAGGAAAGATGGTTGAGAGATGTACTGCTCTAACAGAAGTCTTGGATTTAGCTCCCAACACCTCCACGAGGCAGTTCACAACCAGCTGCAACTCCAGCTCCAGGAAAATCCAATGCCCTTTTCTGGAGTCTGAGTATACTGCATGCACAAATGCAAATACATCTTGCGCATGCGTGCACATGCGAGAGGGCACACACACACACACACACACACACTCAGAAGGGAGGAGACTTGGATTTTAATAGCTCTTTATTCGTGGATATAGCAACTAAAATAGTTGCCAGAACAATTTATCAGAAGCGAAGCAGTGTCTGTCACATTCCCCACAGGTTCTGTGTGACCTCCATGCAATCGCCCAAAAGAACTCTCAGGCTGCAGTGAATCTGGGAGTTCTTGTAGCCCGAGCCATCTCCTAGCTCAGGAGACAAGAACCCTTTCTAACCCTTTCTGTGGGAGGAGTTATGGAAAGCTATGCACTCAGATTTGGGTTCACAGCGATGGCTGGACTGCAGGCCTCACATGCTAACCCCACCTTTCGGGGCCTGTGTTGCAGGGATCATGTACCGGAAGTCGTGCGCATCGTCAGCAGCCTGCCTCATCGCCTCGGCTGGGTACCAGTCCTTCTGTTCCCCTGGGAAACTGAACTCCGTGTGTATCAGCTGCTGCAACACCCCTCTTTGCAATGGGCCGAGGCCCAAGAAAAGAGGCAATTCTGCCTCGGCCATGAGACCAGGGCTTCTCACCACCGCCCTGCTCTTCAACTTAGCCCTCTGCTTGGCGCACTGCTGAAGCTAAAGGAGATGCCAACCCCTGCTGCATCATCTGTCTGGCCCGCACTCTCTCACCTCCCTGAGTCTCTGCTGGGTGTCCTTCTATTCTGGGTAGACAAAAGGGTCTTTTGTTCCCTTTCAAGTAATGCAAGACTGCCATGCACAAATACTTTGTAAGCTCTGAACCAATTCAGTCTGGATTTCCATGGGTAGTTGAAGAAAACGCGTGGAGCAAAATTCCCAGCTCTTCCCATCCCAATCCGTGTAACCACCGCCAAGGCCATTCTGAAAGAATCAGCCCTTAGAAGTCATTGAGATATGCATCTGCCCTTCCCAAAGCCCGGAGCTTCCATCCTGTCCCTAATGGAGTCACTGTCTATTCGGGGACTGCTGCCTGAAGGTGACTTTGCTTTTGTGGGAGGGAAGAGTCAGTTTCTGCTCAAGGCCTGTGAACTTGATGCTCACACCCCCTGCTCCTGGAAACCATTTTCCGTGGTGGAATCAGTTGTCTGCGGTGACTCAGGACTCGAGAGCTGGGGCTTAGCCTCTCCAGGCCTGGCGTCGGGCTGAAAAGTGCTTAGGAAAACCTTGTTCGTTCTCCTGGAGGAAGAGTTCCGCCGGGAGGCTAGGAAGATGAGGGGGCTGCGGGCGGAGCGGGTGCTGTCCTTGGTGGAGCTGAAGTGGGCACGCAGGCGTTTCTCGTGGTTGGCGTGCTGCAGAGTCAGCCGGCAGCAGAGGACCTGCCAGAACACCTTCCGGAACTGCTGAGAGGACACGTTGTAGAGGAGAGGGTTGACGACAGAGCTGAGGTAGAAGAACGTGTCGGAGAAGGGGAGAAGGATCATGTATGCCTTGAAGTACGACTTGGTCCAGTCATGTTTGGGTTTTGCAGCAGCCATGATCCGCCGAACCTGATTTGGCATCCAACACACAGCCAGTGTCACCACGATCAGTCCTGGGCAGGCAAGAACAGGAGAAAAAAAGAAACGGGGAGAAAAACAGCATGAGAACAAAAATAAATAAATAAAAACCCATAAAATATTCAGTCCTTGGTTCTGTTGCTTACTGGCCAGGAAACGGTACCAATTTTTCACTGCTGTGCTTGACGGCTTCTTTTTGCTACTGGCAAAGGAGAATTTAATGCTGCTTCAAGCTCAGGGGACTTGGCTATGTTAAAGAGCGTTAAATGCTTTCAACAGTGTATTTATACCTGTGGGTGCCCGTTAATTTTCAAAATGTTTTCATTGTTGCGCGTGTATTCAGAAAATATCTCATGTTGGCCATAAATCTGGTTTTGTCTTTTTGTTTCTAGATAGGACCAAAAGCTATAGTCATATGAGATGAAATGGTATTTGCTTTGTAAACAATGACAGGACGAAGAAGACCCAGTGAATTTTTAAGTCAAATGGAAGTTGTTGCTCCTTGGTTCAACAAATATCTTTTATGACAATGATTTAGGATCCAAGTTCAGGAGAAACAAAATCAGGGACAGATTATTATACATAAGTACTACTCAGGCCCCCTCCTTGTGCATGAGACATTGGCTATCTGGACACTTATCTGGATGCCACACCCTTGCATAATCAGTCACCTCTACAGTGCTGACAAACTGAAATTGCAAAACAAGACATATATATACATATATATGTGTATGTGTAGATTAATTAACACACATATATGTATGTCCCAAAAGGTATACGTACCTCTAACCATGATGCATTTATCTCTGTTAATTTTAAAACATTTTCAGAAGCAATGTCCCTTCTACCTTCACATGGGAAAACAAATATCCCCAAACACTCAAATCTCTGAAGCTCTTTTTGTGTACAGACCCTCAGCCTTTGTGGCACCGAGCTGCAGTGTGGATAACCAGGAATGATCAGGTCCTACGGAAGAGGGAGGTACCAGCCAGCCCACCCCCCTTCCAGGTACTCGTTTGGATGCCCCACGCTTTCATTTCAGCTTACATGATCAGAGCCACCTGGAACTACAAGATGGTGAGACTACACCGAAAAAAAAAAAGAAAGAAAGAAAAATAAGCCTGGGAATCTTTAGGGCTTTCTCTTTTCTCAAGAAGCTGAGCACCCAGAACAAAAGTTCCCAGGAGAGGGACGGATATCTGAAAGCAGAATTTGATGGGACTGGAGAGATGGTTCAACAGTCAACACCTAAGTTCTGTTTCCGATACCCACAGAAGGCAGATAGCAATGGCCCCTCACTCTATTTGCAGGGGATCTGACACCTTCTGGTCACTTCAGCACCTGGAGTCCTATGCAAATTTTTTTTAATTTTGCATTTTACAAGTAATTCTTTCCACTTTGACCCCAATTCTCTGGGAAATTCAGAGAAGTAACAATTGGTAGCCACTGTTTCTTGCCCAGAGTAGAAGGTCAATAGTTTTTTAGTTAATGGCCCAGGGCAAGCAGACATGTTCATGAATGCAGGGTTAGTCCGAGTATCCTTTGACTGGTAGGGGAGGAGCCCTTGAGGGTTCATAACTCAGCTTCTCCCAGAGACAGACGCTTCAAACAAAGCCATCTGTCAGCAGGGAGAGCCTGGGAAACTCAGCTCCTTTGTGAATTTCCAAGGATTCCTTCTGTCGAGCCTCAGCCAGGGTTTTGAGATAAAAACCAATCTGCTTGTTTCTTCGCTTTGAATTTGTTTCTTGGAGAACAGTCAGTAAATCTAAGAATAAAATAGGCAGCGCAACATATTGATCTGATGAAAAGGCTAAATAAATAAATAAATACCATCTCAAGTCAAGAGCTGATTCCAAATCACCTTGTTACCACTGCTGGATAAAAACAACAGAAATAGACACTTTCTGAATTAAAAAAAAAAAAACCTGCCCAGGAACCTGGGACTTTGGGGGGCTCCCAGCCACCAGTGCCGGACTGGTTCTGAAGTTTCATAGTTCCGAGTGACTGGGTCAGTATTGATTACGAGAGAGAACAGATGCTGGAATGGATACATGGGGAAACTACACATTTCCACTAAGCATCATGGGGGGGTACCCCCATCCCCGTTACTGAATTTTGCAGAGCAAGTCCAGCCATCATATGAGGATGTATTTGTTAGAATATGTCAATCGGGCGCACAGCTTTCTGTGCGGGCTGTGTGGCACTGAGAGGCTGCTCCCTGAGAGTCTGGAAAACTGACTACAAGCTCCTTGTACCTCCCACAGGCTGAACATGAAAGAGCTTTGAGAGGCAACCAAGAAAGGTGATGAGAGAAGGCAGGTTGGAGAGGAAGGGGAGGGACAGTGGGGTAGAGGGGAGAGATCTGGGGGAGAAGAGGAGAGGTGGGGAGGGGGAGGACAAGAAGCGTCCTGAATGACCTCTTGCATTGCACCGCCTTCTGCTGTCTTTACCACCCGCGTACACATCCTTCCACTAGCTCCCTGCATGCACTCACTCAATCCCAATCATCCTGTATTGATCATTCCATCAAAGGAAGGAGATTTTAGTTTAAAAAAAAAAAAGAAGGAGAGGAAGAAGATAAGAAAGAGGAAGATCAGGGGGAGGAAACCCGGTGTCCAGGTAGGAGAAAAAGGACCAGACTGGGCCAGAGCTTGCTTTGTAGTTTCAGCCAAGATGAAATCCCGGCTGTGAAATTGAAATGAGATAGCACATGGCAGGTGGGTCCATCTGAGTGAGTGGCAGAAATGGGAGAAAAGCTCAGAATTTCTCACTGATAAGGAGCCCATAAGGAGGCAAGGCTTTCTGGCTGTAGAAGTAGGTCGGCAGGACAGTGAGTTCAGACCTGGAAGAAGGGAGACAGGGTGTGAATAGAAATGGGTGGGTTCTAACCAGTACGCACAAGCAGGCCTAGATACATAACCAGGAGTTGGGAAATTAGCTTTCTCTACTCCAGTTTCTATGCCTGGCACTTCCTCCCCACATGGGCTTCTGTCTCCGACAACCCAGAGAGGTCAAAGCAATTAGGACCTTCACTTAACAAATGAGAGACCTCCCTGTCTCCAAAACCTGTCATGCAGAATCCCTTTTCCTCTCAAGATGCAGTACTATCAATTCCTCCTATTTTCAGTTTGGTAAAGAAACACGGGCAAGGTGGCTACAGAGAGGGCTTACCTGTGAAAGTGCCTGACTCCTAAGAGTTCAGGTCTCTGGTCCCCATGTGGTATGGCAAGCCCACCCGTATTGCCAGCCGTGGAATGTGGAGACTAGGGATTCCCAGAGCAACATGGCTAGTAAGACTGGTCAGATTGGTGAGCTCTGGGACTGACTGAGAGGCCTTGCCTCTGTGAATAAGGTGGAAGAGCTAATTAGCAAGGATCAACAACATGACATCAACAATGATGCATATGTATGTGCAAGGCCTCCACTTGCACACACATATGCTCCCACACAGGTGTCAACATACATATGCAAACATGCATGTGTGTACATGCACATACCTCACAAAGAGACAGACATGAAAATGTGAAAAAAAGAGGCAAGGAAGTCTTCTTTAACTGTTGCCCATATATAATATCAGTCTACCCATGAAATAACAAGCCATACATTAGAATTTCAATTACACTAAAAATAAAAACAATGACAACAATCAGTGACAATTTTTACAATGCTGCCTAACTCCACACACGTGTAGCTCGATTTCTCATGCAAGTGAAGTATGTAATCATTTTGAAAATAACAACGGTGAGATGTTTTAATTCTTCACTCACCCCGCCCCATGCTAACTCCCCCAACTGCCCCTTCCCCAGACACATACACAGCCTGCCTTTGCATCATTACCAAGCACTGCTGAATCCGAATAGGATTTCTGAATGTGTATCCCTGACTTTTTGCCAGCCCCACACTAGAAACCCTTCTGTAAAAGTGCTGGTCAAATTATTCAAAATCTACATTGTTCTGAAAGTGCAAAAGAAAAAGTGAAAAAAAAATGAGACACGTTCTGCATATCTCATCCCAAGCTCTGACTTTTGGGAACGCACAGATCATACCAACTGCCTGGGGGAGCTGTGGCATAACCTTCCCCCACCTCAACTGGACATGAGAAAAATGGCTGCCACTCTGTGTTCAGAAAGATGATTTTGTTCTATGAAAATGGAGCGCTGGATCTACGAGGGGACACCAATGGCAATCTGAGACATACCCACAGGCAGTGTGACTGTCGAGTTAGTTTTTCTAGAACAGGAAGCCAACCATCCCCTTTGTACAAAATTTGTCATTTCATAATGACAGGTAATTGTTCATTTTTACATTTGAAAAAAAATATTCGTCCTTTTCCACGATACACTGTTGGGGACAAATATCATACCTACCACGTCCAGAAGTAACGTTCTCTTTCAGCTGTCTGCAACTGGCTCAACTCCAGTCCCGACTTCTCTATAGCTAACACAATGCTTTAAAGTCTTATTCATGGCTTAATGGAGTGCATTAAAGATTTGACTAAATTTATGTTTGGCTGCAATCAATTTAGACTTGTGTATTACAGTTGGGGAGAAAAATCTATAATGCTTTGGTCTGTGTGCTGCAGCATGGAGCCCACATTTAAACAGTGTGAGTGTGAACTTGAATGAAGATTGGCGAACTGAGCCCTCTCACGTAGAGCAGGTAAACTGTCTTAACTGGATTATTGATAGGTCGGTATTATACCCCAGACAGCACTGCACTGTGGACTTGCAAATACCTTCATATCTTATCTGCTTCTCCACATAAAGCAGTCTGGTTTGGCTCCTCCATCACAACTGTAAAGTGACAAGAGCCATTAGGCAATGACGCACACACACATCCTTGGAAGAATAATGTTTACCAAACAGGTGCAGGGCTGCAGAAATGGCTCAGTGGGTAAGGGGTTTGCCACACAAGTGTGGGGGTTTGCGTTGTTGTCCAGAACCCTCATAAAGCTAGATGCCGTAGTGTGTGCCGCAGGAGGTGGAGACAGGCAGACCCCTGGAACCTCCCTGACCAGATAGCTTGCTGTATGCAGCAGTGAACTAGAGAACCCATCTTGAAAACAAGGTGAAAGGCAAGGACCCAGGCAGCGGAGGCTGTCCTCTAACCTCCACACGCAGTGTGCTTCCTGGCATTTGCACAGCCACACTGACACACATGAGCATTGTCCTAGCTTGGTTTCTGTGCTGCTGTGATAAACACGATCAAAAGCAACTTGGGGAAAAAAGAGGTTATTTCATCTAAAAGGTTAGAGTCCATCATCAAAGGAAGCCAAGGCAGGAACTTAAAGCAGAAACCACGGAGGAATGCCGTTTCCGGATTTGCTCCCAGGCGATGTTCAGCAATCTTTCTTATATAACCCAGGCCCTTGTTAATCCCTAAGATGGGAGGAAAAAGACCACCGACCCAAATCGTCATGGTAAAATTAAAGCAAGCAATTAATTAAAACAAGCTTCCTTATGTGTGTACGCAGGCTGCCTCAGAGATCAGCACAGGATGTGAGGAAGACGAGGTTCTTATAGCTCAGAGATGAGGGTTTCCAAAAGGAGGGTTGGCAGACAAAGTAGGCGGGGTTACAGGGGTGGAATGTAAGCATAACAAGTTAGTCACAATGACCTCCTGAAACAAAGATTGCAAGGTTGTTGTAACAAAGTGGCCATAACAAACATTTTGAAACACAGGTAGGGTTGCAAGATGGCTATTACAACTTTTTGAATGAAAG